CCGGGCTGGGCCAGGCCAGGCTGTAATATGCTGGACTGGGTCGGGCCGTGTCGTGCCGTGTTTGGCCCGCGTGGGTGTTGGCATAAATATGAAGCATATTATATGCATATAAAAATATTGTTTATAACTTTATATATACATTCTCATACACGGGTGTTTGCCAGTTGCAGTAAGTAGAAAATAAATTTTCTTGGCAACAAGTATTCATGCCTTCCGAGCACCGCTTCCAATTTCGGAAAGTTAATATTTGCGGAAGCTGTGGTTTCTTTTTTCTTTTTCTGTTTCTGTTTCTTTTACAGTTTTTGATTTTGTTTGTGGTGAAAGAGATTCTGAAAGTGTTACATTTTTTTCCATAAATTCAATTTAATTTTTAAAGTTTTCATTTTTAGTAGTGAGCAATTCATAAAGCGATTCCTATATGTAAATTATGGGAGCAACCAAAAAAAAAAACAAGACATAAAATACTTGATAAAATAATGAAAAAAGTGTATAAAAAATAGAGTAAAAAATAAATTAACAGCGCTATTCATATATTCTAACTTCATCTCAGTTATATTAGCAACATTTAAAAAAGCTATTTTAGTCTTAATTGTCACCATTTACGACTATAAGAGAGAGAGTGTTTGGTATTCTTATAGTTATGTTATAACATTAATAATGGAATAGCATAGCATGAGGTGCTGTCTCTCAGCGAAATGGAACAGTATGATCATAGTAGTTATTTTGTGCTGCTTACCGACTCTAGCTGAACAGCCGACACTATGCCCTTCGCATAAAAGCCGAAATATCAACTGATGAGAGTTTTCTAGTATCAGATAAGGTTACGCACTCCTGGCTTAGCAATTCGGAATTTCCGACTTTTATTTCGATTCGTGTGACTGAATCGAAATATGTCATAAATCTTAAATGATTGTGGCGTTGATTTGATCTTTTAATGAAAAACCTTGATAAACTACATTTTTAACATAACAAGGAATAAAAAAATCGAATCACTGAATTGAACAGGTCATATCATACTTTACGATCATTTCTATTATTCTATTCTATTCTATTAATTCTATCATCATTTCTATTTCTCAAGTACTCATTTTTAACAATGCGTTACAGTATAGTCAGCATTTTGAGCAACCTTTACCACTACGCTATATGCCGATATAACTGACTTCTTGATATAATAAGTTTTCATAAATTTAACATAATAAGCCTTCTATTATATTCTATTAATTCTATCATCATTTCTATTTCTCAAGTACTCATTTTTAACAATGCGTTACAGTATAGTCAGCATTTTGAGCAACCTTTACCACTACGCTATATGCCGATATAACTGACTTCTTGATATAATAAGTTTTCATAAATTTAACATAATAAGCCTTCTATTCTATTCTATTAATTCTATCATCATTTCTATTTCTCAAGTACTCATTTTTAACAATCCGTTACAGTATAGTCAGCATTTTGAGCAACCTTTACCACTACGCTATATGCCGATATAACTGACTTCTTGATATAATAAGTTTTCATAAATTTAACATAATAAGCCGATTGATTATTTATCCATATTGTATGTTACAATGGTGAACCTTTAACTAATCGCCTTAGATGATAGATTTGTGAGAACTATGCCAAGTCGAAACTACGAAGTGGATAACTCTATATATAATATATTCTCATATAAGCTGGATATATCTTATGATTTTATACAAAATTTTTAATTTTAAATTATTTAGTTCTACTTCTATTTCTATTAATCCATTTAACTTTTATATTATACTTTTAGGCTGGGAAAGCCACTCGTGAATATTGTAGAAGTTATATATATGAAGAACAGTGAGCAACAGTGGTGGAATAGTGGAGCACCTTTTTTTGCAGTTGCTCAGCTTTTAGACAGGGAATTTCCTCTCATGAATATTATAGAAAAGTAAAAATGAGGAAGAGTAGCTCAGCTTTAAGGCTGGGGATTTCTTTTAGTGAATATTGCGGAAATTGTAAAAATTCGGAGGAAGAAAAAATCGTGGAACACTTATACTGTATGTGCTAAATTTCGGCTAGAATTAGAACGAACTTTTTAGGCAATGCGGTTTATTAAGGTCTTGAAATGGTAAAACAAGGCCTTAACTAACAGTTAAAGTCTTATGTTATGTAGTGGTCTAAGCAAGTATAATAAGTTAATAAGACTGATTACCACAGTAATCTTATCTATATACTGAAATAATCACGTTTACCTTGATGTTAAAACAGCACATTTTAATTTTTAATAGAACTGACTGGAAATATTATTTTATTTTTTTTTTAATATTTTTATTTTTACAACACAAACCCATGGTTCAAAACAATATTCAAGAAAACCTACCACTTATATATATATATATATATATATATTTAATAAAAAATAAAAATTGATATGGGTGTGCTTTTAACATATATAGAGAATATTATCCAGTTGTGCTTATTTTAATTTTCAAACTTAAAAATTTCAAGTAAAAACTCCTTAAAATGATTTATTAACAAATTATCTTTCTAATTATTATTATAAATATTTTTGAAATAAATTAATTTAAACAAATTATAAGAAACCGACAAAAAAAGTTTGGAACTTGAGCATTGAAAGTTTGTGCAGCCTTAACTACTTGTGCAAAGCCACTATTAGTCATAGCTTCTAATATGGCAGGCACGAGTCCTAAGCCTGGTATTTGCAATCCAAATCAATTATATACGGACTATAAACCAATCAAAATAAAAAATTAAATTCGAATATTCCTAAAATTACTGATGATGAGTACTTGGCAATAAATAAATAAATAAACTAAAACTTTTGTTGTTGTCTTTTTATTTCTATTCGAACCTTTCTAACTTTTAAATAGTTTCTTTTCGTCATAAGACGCATCATGTTCGACAAAAAAAAAATTAACATTAATAAGCAAATTATATTTCATATCAAAATAGCTGCAATTTCGATTAAATAAAAAAGCAGATACTTTAAAAACTTATTTATTATTTATGTATTTTAATTTCCTGATTATTTCTTTATATCATTCTATTGAGAACAATAAACCATAGTAATTATATATAATAAGTTGCCAATAGCATGCATTATTCACCATTCATCGACTTTCTAAATAGATTTTCTAAAGCAATTTCATTAGATATTTTTATCTAATGAAATTGCATTTAAGTCTAAAAATTAAAACATAAGAATTCTAGATTACATATAACAGTTTCAAAATAATATAAACTGTTATAAAATTATTTTCTCTTAAATTTTATAATAACTCTTAGATATCCTTTAACAATGTGGTGAATATTTTCACTGTATAACACTCAAAAGTATCTGTTCACTAAAGGGAAAAATTATCTGTACTGTTAACAACAGAACATGACTTCGTAAGCCTTTATCTTCATCCGTCATCTTTTTAGCAGCGTTCTGTGTGAAATCTATTATAAAATATAATGGGAAGTAATCCTTGAAATCTCAACTAAAACATAGTCTCTTCCATTCCGGTGTTTATCTTTTATTAACAGCGCTTAAAAGTATAAACAAGTGTAATACGATAAATAATGATGAGATAATGTGCTGAATACGATAATGAAATTAAATTCTATTTAATTATTTTGTAAATATTATTAAAAAAGGCGATAGTGATTTTCAAATTCAAACTTTTTTTAAAATATTAATCAGTGAATCTTTACGCTGGGCATAAGCTATTGCCCATATCGAAAAATATCTATATATATATCAGTAGCCTTTGTAAACATCTATAAGTTTAATTTTCCATTTTTAATTTTGGTCTGCAAATAATATCACTGGATATTAACATGAAAGGACATAAACATCGTAATTAAAAACTTTATTAGTTTTTGAAATTTGATTTCTTCAAATTAAAAAAAAATTTATCTTAACAGGTAAAGAGAGATGAGCACTTATAGACAACCTAAACTCATGATGTCGAAACCATTGGTCAGGGAAGCGATAAAAGTGTTTAGCTATCCGCGGATCACCCTTAGTTGACTAAACTGACCTCATTAATTACTAGACATGGAAACTTTAAGCATCACCTCAAAAAGATAACTCTTGTTGAGGAAGATACTTGCAGACTATATGTAAAAGAAAAGGAAACAGCGGTGCATATATGATAATATGAGGTTGACTGTCTTGAGATACCATTGGGTTGATGATGACTTGGCAGCCAACCTCAAGTTAAATGAGCTGCTTGCAATAACAAGAGATGTAGTTATGTGAACGGAACCCACTTTAGCCTTAATTCAATAACGACATCCAAAAATTGAAGAAGGAAAAAGGACTCAAGTCGTTTTGTGGTCTACAATGGCTAAGCCATTACTTCAGTAGGGCCACTTATTGGACGGTGCGCGCTCCCAACGTCCCACAATATATATACGAGTATATATATATTCCAATAAATACTTTGAAATCTTTTATTTTTTAAAAGAGAAAAGGGTTGATTAAAAAATCAACCGAGAAAAGGGTTCAGAGTCACGCCTACAAAAGATTAAAAATCCTTTAGTCACTTTGGTTTTTTTTACCAAAGTGACTAGTTTTCGTTAAGTATTAACCATAGACAGATCGAGCACAGATTTGCTAGTATTTATTTATTAGTAAAATAAATATAAACTCATAATTAGATTGACCTGAGACCAACTGCTGGTATTGCATTGTTAAAAGTGGTGAGTGGCACTTATTTATCTCCGTAGACGAGCCGGAAACTGCTCGTTATTCTGGAATCAGATTGTTACCTATTTTTTGTTGGCAAATGATAAATGTCACCGTGTGAGATTTGAGCTAAGACCAACTCTTAAAATGATAAAATTGAAATTTAATGAAAACCTGGGAACTAAAGAGCAGACGTTAAAGAAATTTTAATAAATTAAAGAGAGCGAGTCAAAATGTGTTGATTATATACCGAGACTATTTAAAAGTATTTCATTGCCATACCCTATTTTATTAAAACAATTTCTATTTGAATACTTATAAATTTGTTGATATTAGGGGTACTCATCTAAGCATATAAATTTATCAAATGTATAATTAGATGCGTTTACGTACACGGTCACATGAACGCACTAAGTAAAATATTTTTGTAAATTAATCAATCTGCTGTATAATAGCACTATTTATATCTTCAATTATTATGATAGCACAAAATGCCATGCTCAGCAGCGCAATTTTTTAGCCAATATCGTTGCAATTTTAAATATTTGTGTAAACTTATTAAATTATAATATAAAATAACGGAATTGAGCCACAAGTTCAAACTAAAAAGTATTTACAAAGATATGTCTGTAAATGATTTGCGTGTATTGCAATGCAAATCTGTATTGACAACAAATAAATTTATGCGGTAAAGTTTTCGTGTAAATTTATCTAGTTTGTGTAAACTATTTTTCATACAAAATTTGACACTTCATTTACCAAGCAGATAAAAGTACAAACTAAAAAGTATTTACAAAGATATTTTTGTAAATGATTTGCGTGTATTGCAATGCAAATCTGTATTGACAACAAGTAAATTTATACGGTAAAGTTTTCGTGTAAATTTATTCAGTTTGTGTAAACTGTTTTTCATACAAAATTTGACACTTCATTTACCAAGCAGATAAATTTATACGTTTATAAGGATTATAAAGCATTTATCAGTTTAGATGAGTACCCCTATTGTATATATTGCAATGCACGATAAAAACAAAGTTTTGAATTTATTAAACAATATTTACAGAAGTTCCAGCCAAACCATTATTGATAAGGTAGATGGCCCAATGCAGACTCAGACCAGTCAAATTCTAAAACATAATTAAAGAATTAGAAAACTTAATAATATTAGAGACTAAAATATATTGCATACATACCGCATTCTTCAAATACTCCTTCACCGACTCTAATGCTAGCACCAGTAACATCATCGCTTCTGTTAGCATTTAAAGTGGAATTTAAGTCAGAAGCGGTGTCTTGAAATTGTACATCCTTTGCGGTATCAATTCCAATGGAAGCATTGGTGTCAACATCCTGATCACTAGCATTTCCAGAGTCAGTGTCGTCAAAGTCATAACTGCCACTTATATTGTCATCAGAGCTGCTCATACTATAAAGATCCGTTAAAGTTTTCGGTACATAATCATCTTCTATGGTTTGTTCATTTAACGTTTGGCCCATTAGATTGTTCATCAATGATTTTAGTTGTTGACGTTTTTCTTCTTCTAACTCCGGATCAAACAAATTTAACAAGCTATAAATAAATCAATAATAAATTTTAATTTCTGTATAGATCAAAATTATACAAATACTTTACCCAAGCAGTATTGGCGCCGTGTCTAAGTTCACGCGCTCGAGCCTTGTTCTGCCATAGTCTTGTGAAAACAAGAACTGTTTTGGCGAATATTTCGAATTGCCAAATACGAGTGTACAATCCAAGTCGACGTTGCTATAGAGTAGGAACTTTTTTATACGGTTTGGTAATACTCCAGTATTTATAACGGTGAAGTCAATCGATTTCAATTTTGAGTTCTGCAATAAAATTATAACTTATTAAAAACGTGACATTGACGTAGTAGAGTGTGTAATCTTTAATCTTTTATATTACAGCATTAGTTTTACAGTTAAAGCACTAATAAGAGTGATTATAATAATTGAAGAAATTAAGGAGGAAATGCCTTAAACCAGCGATACTTTAAAATCAAAACTTGATAGTTACTATTCTGCTATGTGAATATATACATACCTTACTGAATTCTTCCTGGTACATTCTTTGACACTTTGTATAGGCAATGAAACCATTAAGTATAAGTTTCGCCCAGAATATTGCGGAACGATAGTATTGTTTGCCTTCTTCGTGTTTTTCAGCACTGCTGACTAAGCGATCAAAAACTTTTCTAAGGATGCCGTAATTAGCCATAAAGCGAAATAGACTCTGAGTTAGTGGAACAATAGTTTCCAGATTCTGTTCAGCTTTGTAGTATTCTGCAATTAAACAGACATTTTGTCAAATAAGTTTAAATTTTGTGGAACGTTGAAATGGATGCTAAAATTTTACACTCACGCGTGACTGTAAGAAACCTTGTCATTTTGAAAAAACCTTCACAATTCAGTGCTGCGTAACCATCGCTGAGAATCTCACGTTGTCCGATGCTATTCAGTTCACTCACCACAGAATTCAGTATTTTACGCAATTCCTTAGATTTAATCCTTTTAGAGTAATCGCTAATAAGTGTCAATTTTTCCTTGTCTTTGTACAAATAACGCTTGGCTTGCTTCAGCTTTTGTCCACCTTTAACTATACACTCAAACGCTGCATCGTATATGACAAACAACGCGTGGACAGTTTTTTCGCATGTTAATTTTTCGCGAGTACGCTTTAGACAACCTTTTAACTCCAACATGGTATCTCTTAAAGGACACCAATAGTGCTCTCTCAACCACTCTAAACAATATACAGAAACTTCGCGTAACATTTTCAATTCTGGTAGTACGATTTCATGTGCGCAAATGTGTCTAACATCGATCACCAATGTCCAGAGGTTAATTTCTCGCGCCACATCATACATGCTGCGCATATTTTGGTTAAGTTGAGTGGACAACATGTGGTTAACAAACCTTGTTATCCCAAATGCGTAAAATATTTTTATGTCATTTTCGCTGTACACCTCTTTACGGTCTTTAATTATTGCATCCAGTATTGCTTTAGTTGCTGTAATACCAGCCGGACATAAATAGCCTCTACGGTTCATCCATACGTCAAGTTCCGCATTGGCAAGCATATGTGTGGAATTATCATGTCTCTCGCCGAATATCCAATTATAAACTTTATTAAATTCCTCACTGCGTGTTATATATAATTTTAAACAATGACAATGACAATGGTGTCAATAAACATTTAATTTACTTACTTGTACTTCCATGGACCTACCAATGTACGTCTACGCATAAACACCGCTTCTTGCTCAGAATCAGGGTTAACATTCTCCTCATCAACGCTATTTTTATTAATGGCTGCCATTAATCTATTTCATATATTATATGTAAATAAATCTATTTCATTCAAACCTTGGTTTCATTCAATTAAATATATTTGCAAACCAAAACGTGCACGCAATATCAAAAAAACATATACAACGCTTAACAGCGCATTCCGAAACGTCAACATTTTTCAACAGCTGTTCAACAGTGATGTCTTGTGCATTTTGTTTAGTATTGTCAACTGTCGACAGTGATGGCGAAAATTATAGACAGTAAAATGAGAATTTTGAAATTATAAATGATTAATCTTGAAATGATGTGATTTTTGATCAAGATCTCAATTTACTTTTTTTTTGTGTTGAAAGAACATAATTCTATTTCTTAATTTTTATATTTTTATAGCTATTTTATTGATATCTTTTTGTTTTGCAATATTTAATTATCTGTTCTAAATTCTTAACCCTAAATTTTTTATTTTTAATTTTATCTTTTTATTTTTTGGTTATAATTTTTTGCTTTATTGTTTAATAATTTATAAATTGCTATTTATTGTGTATATATTATTTATGTCTTTGTTTTTTTCTTGTTAGTTTTTAAGTTGGTTCTAAGATGATGCAACAAAAGGGATTTTTGCGTATTTTAAAGAAACAAAAATATAATAAATAAATAAACACTTTTTCAATGAACATTATGAAAAAATAAAAAATTGCAAAATAAAAAACAATTGTCAACTTAATTAATTTTTTTTTCTTTTTTAAATATTTATGTTTTAGTGGGCGGTACGTACGGTAATGATGTGTTATCGTGTCATAAATATATGTATACGATATAAAAAATATACTAATAAAATAATAATAAAAACTAAAGTTGTTATTAGTATTATATTTTACTTGCAATTATCGAAGCTTGTTAGCAAATTTTTAAATAATTTTGTCTTTGCAAAATGTTTGATAAAACGCAAGATAATGCCTAAAGCATTTCTACTTAACACTGACTGCGATCACTAAAACATTTTATGTTGTCCATTAGGTGAATTAAAAAAAATATGTGGTGATTTTGTATAAAAACTGCACTTAACTATTTAAGGGCATTTCTTCATTTAATTGCGATAGTGTGAAAAATATGATTAACATACTTGCTAACACAAAGGTGAGTTAATCGAAACACGCGTATTGACTCTTGATGTGATATCTAGGTAAAATATATTATATCTTTTCTTTAATTTCACATTTTTTGTACGATATATATACAAATATATAAAATATATATTTTTTTCCTTTTAATGTAAATGAAAAATGTGTCAGGCGTTATTGAGGCCGTGTGCGTGGGAAATAGTAAATAATGTCGGTATGGCAGCGAATATGGGTATTTATCAGTATTTTGAGCAGGATAAAGTGGATAAAAATTAGGTTAAATTGATGTTCCTACTGTGAAAATTTTGGAAGATGTTTAAGAAATAAATAAATTTAAAAATTTTTAGCTAAAAATAATAAATAAGTGCAATAAATAAATAAATAAATATTTACATAAGTGCAAAGCCTTATGAAATTTCAATTTACTTTACCTTAATTTACTCGAACTCGCACACGGCCTGAAACATTGTAAGGAACAGTAGGGATATTCATTATATCATATATATGTATCTAATAGTTTAATAATATAATGAAAATATTATTTTATTTTTGCTAAATTTGCGAGTGCCCATTATAATTACTGTTTACTTTTGAAAACATAATAGTTAAATTAAATAAAAGATAATAAAATAATTATAGTAAAAACAGTAAATTTGAATTTAGTATCAAAATATGTTAATGATCACTTGAATTGATCGAGATTTTTGTATACCAGCCATTTTTGACAGACATTGTTGTTCCAAAATGATATTCCATATAATGCATTTTTCTATTATCAATATGTCATTTATTATTAATTAATTAATAATAATAAAGAAAATGTAATAAGCGATTGAAAGAAATTTCAACATCACCGATTTTAAAAATATATATTATTATTTATCATTGCATGAAATTCTATTTGTGATTTAAAAATGGAAAATACACATCGAAGATCTACATTAAATTCTGTTATACTGTGTTTACATTGTAAGATTATAAGTACATTAATCTAAAGATTATCACTGAAAGATCAGTGGTTAAAATTTTATAGTCGGAGTCCGAAAACTACTGTTATTTTCTGTATAAGCAATTGAATGTAACTCATGGAAGTATAATGAAAGAAATTGGGAAGGCATTTACCAACGATAGTTTTTAAATCTTACGGAAGGGTACAGAACGTCAAGAGGTGGGTTATGTGGCCATATGTGGTACCATCGGGTGAGTGACTATAAGTACTAGTTAATGTGAGCAAGCCATTTCCAGGTAATTTCGAGAGCATCAGAATGGGCAATGGGTATTTCTAAGAGGAAGTGCTTACAGTTACTTCAGTAAATATTTTTTTAACCATACCTAACGTAACATATTATAAGTGATTAGAAAAGTTTTATAAGTCAAATTTGTACTTATAGTTGGTGCAATGGCGGACTTACTAGTCGGATTTATTCCATTTGAGCTGAAATGTTGCTGAACCAATTATAGCTTTGAAGGGCATTTTTAGGATTGATATGCCTAAATTTGAACTTGCGAATGACATAATTTATAAGAGGAATAGAACTATACCGAGATATTTGAGCTTGTTGATGAGCTAAACTGGGGTACTGTTATTTTCAAGTTGGAATTCAAGTAGAATTGAAGCTCAAGCTACGAGAGTGCTGCCATCGCAGGCCAGTAGGCAATAGCTAATATCTTGTATGGCTTGAACTTCATTTTCCAGATGAAATAGTATTTAGAAAGATTCCTACAGTAAAAATAAAGTTCATTAAAAATACATTGGAAATTGGATGATGTTAGAAAAAACGGGGTAGTCAACAGAAAAACAAATTTATTTACATCCTTTATGCAGAGAATTCCTGAACTGATTGAATAAAAGTAGATATAGGTCAACGTCATAGGGAACACTGAAATCGATGGTGAAGGACTGATATGGGAGGAACCGACTCTGTTGGACAAAAACCTAAATGCATTATTACAAAGTGTTGACTTACATAGACTTATTGCCATAGATCAATAAAATGCTCCACTAGAATTCATTATAAGCTTGTCGGTTTGTTGATTTGATCATTTAAATTAGCATAAATATTTGGTGAAAGTAGCAAAAATTTTGAACAAATGTCAAATAATATTGCATACTTTTAGGGACCAGACTAATTTCACTGAACGAAACTATCAAGGAGACACTCGATCTTTCTCAATTTGTCACCACCTGTAGTATAATTTTTGGAGTTAAATTGGTCTTCTGCAAGTACCTAAACCTATCTGCCTTGCGTAGTATATGAAATATTTGATTGTTTATATCTTTGAATAGAGATTTCTTCTCCATTGATAACACCATTTCAGAATTCATAATTTTGTTAATAAAGGCAAATTACCTTGTAAACTACACGTCTTTATGTTTCTATTTGTTAATATTTCCAAAGCAAGCGGAAGTACTTTTTGTCAGTGAACTTAACCTCTAAACGTCTAATAGTCGTCACTGTTAACTATTAGGTATTGAGTAACTGGGAACCATTACTGCCCTGAGCTCCGACAGGAGCAAAAAAAACTGGAAACTACAGTTAGCACTATAATTTATAGTCAACTTAGAGATTCAACGCAGAATCATTTTAATGAACACTGAATCACTAAAACATTCACTTTTTCACTTGCGGTTGAAAATGGAATGTGGAATGTGAAGTGTGGTCGGCTTAGTTTAGTTGAATATTGGTTACACATGTTCCCACATATACCAAGACTCCGTTGTGATACTATTTTCCTAGCCTTCTCAATGTCTTTCAGCGGAATCAATTTGTTTGCATTAGGAATTTTATAAGTCTTCTTTGGCCAACTTTGCATAGATATACGAATTCCTTAAAGAATATGATATAGATAAGATAATAATATAAAGTATCAATGAAGAATTCATTTCTTAATATTAATTATTTTGAAGGGGAAAACTTCAAACTTATTATTTTAAGAATAATATCCAACATTTTAATATGTTGTTATTAAAAAATAATAACACACCTTTTAAAATTAATTCCTGGAATATAATCTGCCTATTCAAACCGAACAGTTAGAAATTTTATTTGACTCTTAAGAAATTACTACTAATTCCTTATAATTAAGTCCTTAATAAATAATCTATCTCTTCAAACTTAACACTTGAGAAATAATATTCTATTTTTCTATTTTTATTTTTAACTCTAAGGAAATAATTCTTCATCTCTCAACATTTCAATCTTAACAAATAATCTCTCTCTTCAAACTAAACACTTGAGAAATAATATTCAATTTTTAAAACTGTGACTCTTAGGGAATAATTATTCATCCCTCAACATTTCAATTTTAACAAATAATCTCTCTCTTCAAACTAAACACTTGAGAAATAATATTTAATTTTTAAAACTGTAACTCTTAGGGAATAATTATTCATCCCTCAAAATTTCAATCTTAACAAATAATCTCTCTTTTCCAACTAAACACTTGAGAAATAATATTCAATTTCTCAAGATTTACCTCTTAAGGAATAATTATTCATCTTTCAACATTTAAATCTTAACAAATAATCTCTCTCTTCAAACTAAACACTTGAGAAATAACATTCAATTTCTCAAGATTCACCTCTTAAGGAATAATTATTCATCTTTCAACATTTAAATCTTAAAAGCATTAATTCCCTCAAATTAAATGCTTAAGAAATAATATTCCAACTACTAACACTTAAGACTTCTACTACTCAAATGATTACTACTCGTACCGATCTCTAAGTAATTCTAAGTATCTTGGTATTTCCCAAGATATACTCCACCTTCTCAATCGGATTACTTCAGAAATATTTTTAGACCCCTTGAAACGCAACTTTTGAAGAGGTCGATTATTAATCTGGTAATAATTTTCCGTTTGAAATTTTCTTCTTAAAACTGAAAGCTCTTCTATGAGTGCATTTAATTCCGGAAAATCCTTTTATAAATGCACTCCAAAATATTTCCATTTCCGACAGCGACCACAGAAACAAAAAAAAGGAATAATAGTTCTGATATTAACGAAAATTATGAAAAACGTTAATGACGTCGAGAGGGAAA